TTTAGATCATCAGCTTTTTGCTTCGCAGAGAATCTGCAAATTAGTTTAATTTTTCCTACTTTTTTTTTTAAACTTAAAAGTGTAAGATAAGATCTCCCCTTATACATGTCAACTTATCCCCTTAATACTTCTTTAACTGAGTACAGATTAATTTAAACTTTAAAAGTTTTTTTTAAAGTTAAATAAAAATGTTAACACGCCGCTTATCATACTGAGGGCTATTTTTTTTATTTTCACAATATTAACAAGCATTTAAATGTTTTAAAAGAACTTTATGGTCCATGCACTTTTTACCAATCAATAATGCCGTGACTCTATTAAGAGGCGAGTACCCGCTCTTTTGCCACGTGCCATTAATTGTGATGCAATGGTAATAGAAACATTTCATATCATTTTTTATACGTTCAAGGGCTACCCTATTTATAATTTTAGTTGTAGCATTTATATAAACAGCATATACTAGACCGTTTTTTTGCCTAAATTATTTATAGCATTTTCAGAAATATTATACTTTTTGCAAATATTTTGATAGCCTGAAAGCATAATCAAATTTCACAAAACGCAACAACTGAACGTACATTCACTTCATATAATATTTTCTTCAAAATATTCATATCAATTAAAAAGAAGTAACTCTGGTGGATGGTTTCCAAAGTCTTTAAACTTTTTTTGGAGGGTAGTCTGTTTTTGTGGTTGTTGATGATGTAATGAGTGAAAGTTTGTTTGATAAACATTTTTACAACAATTATGAGGGTAAATATTAGTTTATTGTTTTTTAAAAAAAAAATTTTGTTCTTTACCTTTAGACATTATACTTTTAAAATAGTACAAACAGTAAATATTATGACTTTCATTATTCCAAAATGTGATAATACTTAATTATATATTAAGAATGCAAATGATCATTCAAGTTATGACCAAATAATAAGCAAGATAGACTTTAATACTTAAAATGTTTTTTTAGCATTTACAATATATAAAAATTTGCAGTTAAATATTAGAAATATTTTTGCTTATATAACGGTTGCTATGGCGTTGTTATGGATATTACAAAGTACTTTTTTAATATAAACGCAAATTATTATAACTCAATGTTAAAATTTTGCAATAAACTTTTTGTATTCTGTAATCAACAGAATAATAAACAAAATCTCAATTTTTTTTTTTTAAATGACTTTTATTTCTTTACTTTAAACATATTTTAAAAGATTGTTTGTAGTTCACACTTACAAAATTAGTGCTTTAAGCAATCTAATTGTTTGTCTTGCAGAACATATATTTTATTCACAGCTTTTTCAGAAAAGGAAACTTACCATAGATGTCATTTCTGTAACTTATTTTTTACTAAAATGATTGTAAACTGAATAAATTATAGGGTTATAACGCAAGAGAATGGTGTGGGATTTTTAACATGCAACAATCAAGGCCGGCGCGATAGTGGGTGTGACACCCCCCCCCCCCCCCAGCAATAATTTTTAGTCGGCAAATTGGACCTTGTTAGTTGGCAAATTTCGACCCTTTCGATATAGGTTAGACAGTCGGCAAATGTCGTCATGACAGTCGGCAAATTTTGGAAAACGAGGACCTTTTTTTTTTTTTTTAAAGTCGGCAAAAGTTGTAATGGCACCCCCCCCCCCCACGTAACACCTACTCGCGCCGGCCCTGGCAACAATTCTTTTTTTGCTTGAACATGTTTAGTTTTATAGAAAAAACAGATTTCGGGCAATAGTTGTTTACACCATTATTTCCCCCCTCTTTTAAATCTCGTCGTTATTTTGGTAACTTTAAGTTAATCTGAGAAAATTTGCTGTCTGATTAACTTAAAGTTACCAAAATAAGTGCGCCTGATTTATTTTTAGTTTACCATGATTTCTCACACAATTTGCCAAGTAAGTTTAAAATTGCTTTTTTTTTTTTCAATCAGTAGAGTAAAAGCGGTCAAATAAGTTTTTATTTATCACGGTAAAAAGATTTCAATTTTTTTTTTTTTTAAGTTGTAAAGACTTTTGAATTGTATTTAAATATAAAAATCAAATATATCTTCAATTAAGTTTTTTAAGAAACTTCATTTATTTGGAAAAAAAAAAAAATTTTTAATAATTTTTTTTTATTTAAGTGCCAATTAAATCTTTCGGTCTTATCAGAGAAAAGCATTTAAAAGAACGCTTCTTTTCTTATCGATGCTATAAAACTTACCCAGAGGTGGCGTTGAATAATGGATATCTATTTCTGTGGCAAGCGTACTAACCACTGCACTTCGACTCCTCCTTTTTCATTCTATTCTACGGCAATGAAACTCAAAAAAAACAAAAATTGTTGACGTCAACTTTAATTGATATCCGTCCTCCCCCGTGTCAACAATTGTCAAAAAAAAACCCTTCAAAAAGCACAGATTACCAAACTTTTATGGGTTTTATATAAAATATACTTTTCACGACTAAATTCAATTAAAAGCTGGTGCCACATCATTTTATCACTCTGTGTTGTGATATTAAAAAACTGTGTTATGATATTATAACTCTGTGTTGTGATATTATAACTCTTTGTTGTGATATTATATAGCGTTGATTTGTTTTTTATAGCATTATTTGTTTGTTTTGTATCTAACAAATACAAGAATGTCTTTCATGGTTGAAGATTATCCAAATTTAATAGTTACCCATTTTTGGACCAAAATTTTTTGTATAAATATTTATTTATAAAATTTATATTTAATTCATGACCATTCTTATACGACAAAAAATTGTCTAAAAAAACCACTACTAAATTTAAATTAGGAGAACTCTCTGTTAAGAAATTAAAAAAAATTTAATTTTAGAGGAAAGACTTGAATAGATTTTTTAATACTACTTACATTTAATACAAAAATTTGCTGCAAGAGCGGGTCCGACTATGTTTACAATGCGTTTGCGCACCTTACCTAAAAGAAAAAGGGCATTGAGATTTATTAAGATAAAGAATAGATTCCTAAATAAGAAAGTAGCGAGCACGATAAAGAGATGCAACCCTATCAGATGCTTATGTTGCCATGGATTTGATTTGTGGTTACCAAGAATATCGGAAATAATTTTTGTATATTAAAGACAGAAACGTATCGATGGGCCCGCAGCCGTAGGAGGGCCCAGACTTATTAGGGGCCTAAGCCAAATTTTTCAAATACATAATAACATTTTTACTTTTATTGTATATCTAAGAATTACAAATTTTTAGCTATACAATATGTAACAAACTTGTTTCAATTAACTTAAATCAAAATTGTATTTAAAAATAACGCCTTTTGTCTTCATATATAATTTTTTTTTTGTTTTGAGGGGGAGCGGAGAGAGAAATAATTTAGAATTAAAATTTTAAGTGAAGGCCTATTTTTTGTCGCCAAGCCACTGCTTTAAGGCAAACGAAGATGTACATTGCCGTTCATAATTTTAGGAAGATCTTGATTGTTGTGATAACTGTTAGTTTTATCTGAGTTAAAAATTATCAGCCATGGAGAGGCAGATTGAACTTCTTTATAAAATTAATTATAGATTGGTGCAGGTTAAACATTGTTTAAAAAACGCACTAGAAGAAATAGGACGTGACTATTTATACGAATAAAGACTTTTAAAAGCTTATGTCTTATTTAAGTAATGAAAAATGACAGTACCCCTGCAGTAAAATTGAGGCGGTTTTGCTCTTTTCTTATACCGCCGATATTGGTGGCTTTAATATTTGAATTAGTTTTAGCAATATAAGTAATTCTAAAACCAGCGGAACTATCAGTAAAAAAAGTTAGAATATCCGCATCAATTTTAGTGCAAAAGTACCGACATTTTTATATACTTAAATTATTATCAAATATATCAATTTTAAAATTATTATTATGTATATTATCTTTGGACGAAATTGTCAACTATCCTAAACTTATTTAATGCTCTGGCATTTTTTACATTTGCAAAAAACCGATGTGTTCTGCCAACATGACTTTTAGCATTTTAATGTATATAAATAAATATAAGACACTTTAAAATTTTTATTTTTTAAGTAAAATTTAATTTTTTTTTTTTTTAATAACTAATATATAAAAAATTTTAATCGAAATAAAACTTAATGTCTGATTTACTATTAAGCAAAAGTTATATGAAATTTTAACTTTCGAACAAAATAACTCCAAAAAAAAATTCTGCAAAGTTTCGAATTTTTTTGTTTCGTTGTCAACGAAAATCTTAAAAAAAAATGGCGAATACTTTACACTTTAAAAATAATTGATATTAGCATAAACGTGATTGTGTGCAGAATTTCATTTTTTTAAATATAAAATTAAATTTCATCAACTTTCAATAAACCTGAAAACTCATGAGTTTATCGTAACCATCATGTATAATAACGAAGGTTGAATATAATAAAGAAATATTGCAGTAAAAAAAAAAAAAAATATTGTCAAAAAATATTTATTATTAATTTAATAAGAAAAAAGGTAATTACCGTAAAAGTATATTTAATCTAATTTTAGTATTTTATATAATAAACACTTTTTGATATTAATTATATTTTAATATTTATAGTAACAAAAGAAAAAATATATTATTATTATAATCGAAATGATCAAAATTCATGATATAATTATGAAAATATAAAAAAAAAGTTTATAAAAAAAATTTATATATTTAAACAAAGATTAATATCAATTATTATTATTTATAGTTATTATTATTATTATTAAAAATGTTAAAAAAATAATAATTATGAAAAACTATGTACCACAAATATAATTATATATTTAATAGTTTATGTAATTACTATTTTAATTAATATATTTTAAAAAGAACTAATTATAAATATGATTAATATATAATATAATATTGGACTTTTTTATTTAAATCCAATATATATATAAATTATTTCGTATATTTAAAGCAAATATATTTATAAAAAAATAAATTAAATAATTTAATTTTTTATTTTTTCACTATTTAAAAATACATTAAATATTTCACTTATTATTTTATAATTATTGTTTTTATTTTATATATTTAAAATATTAAACATTTTCCCGCGTTATAAAGTTAATTCATCGACGTTACGAAAATATTTTCCACGGTACAAGATCACAAACTTCTTGATGTTCGAACAACGAATCCATTCACAAATGTCTTTAATGAAATCAATGTCGTCGTGAAGTAGAAGATTTAATTCTTCACAAAGATTAATCCAAGGAAGAAAATTTTCTTCAAAATCTTTTTTTGTTATTAAATAATAATCTAAGATCCATATCGCCAACCATTCAATCTTATCTTTCGGTTTCCATCCTTCGAAATTAATTGGACGACAAAACCAGACATTGCGAACATTAGTTGAACATCGAATTAAAAGATTTTTTTCTTCATCACTTAAAATATTTTTATCAACAATTAACCACTTTAACTTTCTTCCAGATTTTATGTAATAATTTACGAAATAATTCTCGCAAGAAGTTGCGTAAGAAGTTTTTCCATCGTCAATCGAAATCTTCCAACCGTCATTCAGTTCATTTTGTTCATCAACAATTGATTTTATTTCATCAGTGAATGACGATTGACTTTCGTAAAAACATTCGTAGAAAAAATTGAAATCATCAAAAACTTTAATACTTTTAGATAGACGATCTAAAGAAAAATTAAATGTGAAATATAACAATAAACAAATAAATAAGAAACAAAAAATAAAATAATAATCAAAATTGTGATATTATACATATAATATTATTATTTTTCTATATACAAATATAATTAATACACTATAATTAAATAAAAAATTGAATTTATTTTCTTCTTATTAATAAAAATATTATATTTACATTATAATATTATAAACATAAACACATTAATATCAAATTAATATTAAATTATAAAATTATTTATAAAAGTTAATAAAACTTTTTAACAAAATAACTTTTTAATAAAAATTATAAAAAATATACTAATTTTATTAATTTGAACATAATTTTTATATTATTAAATTTTATTATAAATGTTGTGCTATAATTTTTAATAACCAATAGTATACATATATAATATAATATTTTTTACTTAAAATAACATGAAACAGATTAAAAATATGTTTAAGTTAGAAAAAATGCTTTATTTATTCATATTGTCATTCGAAATAAATATCATCATTTTTTTGTTATATTAGAAAATAAAAAGAAAAACTGTTTTATTTATACGCTAATTTGTAAAGAACTCAATGTATTTTAAAACCGAAATTCTGCAGAACTTGTTCAAATTTAGAATTTACATCGAAAATCTCCTTCGACAATCTTTTTTAAAATAAATAAATTAAATGAATATGAAAAAAACGTCAAAGAGTGAGGGTTCAAATATTTGGTGATTCGATTTCGACGTCGATTTGAAACTTTGAAGAAAATCAATAAAAAAATGCAACTTTACAACTTATAAATTAAATTTTGATGCAATTAGCGCTTCTTGAATAAGGCTACAAAATATATAAATGTTAAAATATAAAAAAAAGCAACTAATGCATCTAAGAAGAACCAATAATCTCAATCAAATTTAAATTTTTTCATAAATTACATCGAATGTATTTTTTTAGTGAAATAAAAAAAATTGTTTTAAAATTTTGTAATTCATCTAACAGTCATTTAAAAAAAAAGTTTTACTTTCACTATCAATTAATAAAATTAATGTTTCTCTTTAGGAGTGACCAAACGAACACAAGTTCTAATGAGAAAATTTAACTTACGGTGAGAACATAAAAAAAGCTACTAATAACAATAGTGTCACAGTTAGTATTAAAACTATATTGTGGGAATATTTTATATGTTTATTAAATCGAATAAAACGATTAAAATTAAAGTCGCTTGAAATTACAGTCTTAGAATAGAATCACCTTGAAATCTTGAAATCAAATTATTAAATTTAAATATTCTTAGCAACTTTTCTTGCATTTTTTTGTTTAAAAAAATTCACTTGATATATCAACAAAATAAACAGAAAAGAAAAAAAAAATTGTTGTCACAATTATATTCAAGAGGTCGTCGTCGTATCGCTTTAAAACAATCAACTTTAGCTCCAAAACATGAACTTTTTAAATGAAAACAAATAATTGATTATAAAACTGAAGTATACTTACAAAATTTAATAAACAATGATAACAAAATGATACCGTAAAACATTTTAAGAAAATAATTTGAAAAGTGAGTTTTATAAATTTAAAACTCGATTATCGAACATCAAAAAATCTTTTTATAAATTCGAAAAAAATAGTAAAAATTAAAAACAAACGCCTCGCTTATAATATGATTTTGTAACCATCGCAACCGATTTCCAAATGCACGATAGTGGTAGCTGGTTCTTAAAACGAAAAGATTAAAACCGAAAAAACCTTATAATATAATTTTACATACAACCTACTTTTTAAAATTGTTATATAATTTTTGTTCCTACAGCCCCGGATCATTGTAACTAAAATGGAAAACACTAAGCCATCAAAAAAAAAAAAAAAAAAATTTATTTAACTGTATTTTTTTATCAACTACTTTTTAAAAGATATGGTCGTTCGACTAAACAAAAAAAAAAAATAATAATAAAAGAGCGCCGATTTAAATGTAAATGTTTTTGATAAGATTGAACTCTTAACAAAAACTTGCTGCACTTTTAATTATATTGGCAAATATAAAATTATTTAACTGTTAAAAAAATTATTACACTAAATTGCTGAATAATAATTTTTATTTGATGTAATTAATTATATTTTATATATCAATAACTTTGATATATTAATCGCTTTTATTAGAGAATTTTCAATTGTTGTAATAATTCTTTAAATGCTTGCATTCTATTACAAAAAGGTAACATATAACATTTTTCATAAGCAGTAAAATAACGCTCGTCTAAAGAATTTTTTCATGCTGCAATAAACGACACTTGTTAAGTGTATGTTCTTGTAAACATGCAAACGTTTGTTATAAGAAAAAATAAACAGAAAGAAAAACGATCGTCATGTTACTTTAATTTTTCTTATGCAAACGTTGGCGTTTGCTTAAAATTATTAAAAACGAACGTATTACTTAAGCATTTTTTTTCCAAATATATATGCGATTGATAGTTTTTTATTAAAAAAAAACAACACATATTTATAATAAAAAACAATTAGTTACTAAAATTTAAAACGTATTTTCAACGACATTAAAAGAAACAAAGCTAAAACAAGATGATTGTTATTTTTACTCTAAACCTTTTAAGAGTTTAAGTAGACTGGAAACGAATGCCGTTTTCTATAGATTTCTTAATACAACTTGAATTTTATGGGGTGACAGGACTGCATCAAATATTTTTAAAATGACATTTTACAGTGCAGACATCAAATTTGAACGAATTCGATCCAAATTTAACTACTATTGAGGTGCTATTTGTTAAAGACAGACCTAAATTGTAGTTCAAATATTAGGCTACCTTATTTAATTTATCCTAAACAAAGTGAAGAAAGAATATTTATGCAATTGTTTTGCAAGAAACGATGCATACCACAAGGTGACTCGTCACCTCAACGCCGAACATAAGGACATCTTGACCTTGATAAACAATTTAGTAAAGAAGAAAAGAAATCAAAGATTATTAAAATGTAAATTATAATATTTTTATAAGGGAAATTTTAATCAAAAGTTCATATATTTATATATGCCCTATAAAAAAAAATTAAAATATTAATGTTAGTCTTGCTCTAAAATAAGCCGTTTTTAGTCATTTTAAAGTCCGTTTTTTTGTTTCAAATATGTCATTTTAAGGCAAGGAATGAGTGATTCAATGGCGCTCAAATTTTTTGCGAGTTAGTTTAATCATATTTGAATCAAATATGGTTTGGTTTTTCAAATACCAAAATTTTTTAATGTCTAAGAGATGGTTTTCAATAGCAGCAACTATGTCAAACAAGAATTGTGTATTTAAATTTAAATGAATCGGTTTTTGTTAAAAGGGCGAAAGTCACAAAATACAATTTTTTCAAAAAATAAAAAAACTTAATATCAAAAAAACTTTTTATTATAAAGATTTTTAAAAATTAATTTGAAAGTAAAAGTTACTGTTTTATAAAATTGGTAAAGTTTAATAAAGTTTAGTATTTTATTTTTAAACCAATCTTTGGAATTATTTTTAAACAAAAATATTTTAAACTAATCTTTCGAGTAGATTGACATGTGTTAAAAAGCGTTATAAATGAATTTAAAATCAAAACATTTTTTAAGTTTTCCATCAAATTATTATTTTTCAACCAGAAGTTTACTAGTAAATTTTTAATAAAAAAAAGCGCAACAATATGTTGCATCTTCCCCCATACATGACAGAAACCTATTTAATATGCAAAAAATATATACATTATCTCTACTGACACACACTTAACATGCACTCATCTCCTATAAAATCTGGTACCCTACTTTTTAATAATGTTTACTTTTTTTTAGAAAAAACAATTATAAATATAACAATTATCACGTGAAAAAATAAAGTTTACAAATTATTCTTTATAAATGTAACTATGGTAATTCTTAATTTCAAATAACTTTTGATTCTTAAGAGATATTATAGGGTAGGTACACTGTATTAAAATTTTATATAGTATGAGGGTGAAGAAAAGTTAACTTTCTTGTTGAAGACGTTTTAAAAGTAATTTCAAGCAAAGAAAATAAACTTTTTATTAAAAACCATATAAAAGTGATTTCAAGATTTTTTATAAAATACTTATATGGATTATTTCAGAAATAAAACATTGAAAAAGACTCTGCAGTCTTTTTAATAATATTTTATTTATGAAAAAAAAAAAAAAAAAACTTTGTTTAAGAAAAACTTATTTTTGTTTTACTTTATACTCCTTATAACTATGATTTTTTCAAGAAAAAAAATTATTTTCACTTGCTACACTTAACCAAAGTTTTGAGAAAATATTTGTCTGGATCATGCTTGAAAACTTTTTTTCATTGCAAAATGTACTCGGTAAGCTAATAAATCAAAACGTTATTTAAAGATAACATTTATTAGCCTAAAACATAGAACTAAGTTTCTGATTGGTTGAAGGCCTCATTTTCAGCCTTTATAGCCTCAATCACATGATTAGCCATGTCTAAGCTACAATAAAAGTCATTGGTACTAGGCAGTGATAGCTTGTCTTGCGTCTATTTAAAACTTCTGCATTTTTATGCAAGGTTTTTCAGCAGATGTTAGCTGCTCATCTGCCTTTTTATATTCTACATTGGTATGTGAAAGTGGCTGATATGTTCAATTCTTTTCAAATTCTTGAAAAGAATTGAAATCTGTATCTTATTTTCAATGAAGATCAAGGATATAAAAGCATGACTTCAGTCTGTTCAAGAATATTAAATAATAGCCACGATTTTGCTCTTACATAATCAACCAGTAAAGGTAAAGGAAAAATTGAAAGACTCTTTTCTGTAGAATAAAATCTGAATATTTTTTTGCTGTCAAAATCATATACATCTGTTCGAGAATACTGTACTAGCTTTTAAGCCTTCTTTCATAATTTTAAATAAAGACCGCTCTGAGTTGGCCAGCAAAAAGATAACAGTAATGGGACCTAAGTACCAGCTAGAGTATTCCCAAATTTTTTAAAGCTGACACTGCATCTAATTTAAACA